TACTATACCTAACTAGTTACAATTCTTTCACACATTACCTGAGGACTTGATTCCTGCTAATTTTAATCATATTCTGAAGTAATTAAGTCTGAGATAAACATTTCTGTAGCTGGTAAAACCATCACTCCTACATATCCCATCATGCCCGGTGGTTTTGTTTCTTTTTGATTGGGAGAAAGGTGTTAGGTATGTGAATGTTTAGGTACATGTTTAGTTATAAAATATTTTTAGATAGTAAATATTTCTGATCTAAAGATACAGTGTGCCCTGGGACTTTCCTGTTGGTCCATTGGTTGAGACTCTGCATTTGCTCTGCAGGGGGCCCGGGTTCTATCCCTCGTCAGGGAACTAAGATCCCACAAGCCATGCAGTGTAGCAAAAAATTAAAAAATTAAAGATACCATGTGTCTTGACTTTTATAATTGGGGAACTGAATAATTGTTTGTGGACAATTATGAAGTTATAATTACATGGGGACGATTGGTGGCACTACACAAATATTAAGCCTTTTTCATGACATGTCAAACACAGACATATCTAATTAACAATAAGAACTATATTTTATTGAATACTTATTATTTCCACATTAGCTCCAATTCTAGACCGACTCTACAAAGCAGGCATAAATTTCTGCTCTCCTTGTAGCTGAGGAAGCTGAGAGTCAGGAAGCTTAAGCCTTTCATCTAGATATGTGGATAGTGTGCAGTGGAGCTGGGATTAAACTGGCAGCCTCTAAGTGTAAGTGGTAGCCACTCTGCTGCTGCTGAGTCGCTTCAGTCGTGCCCGACTCTGTGCGACCCCATAGACGGCAGCCACCAGGCTCCCCCATCCCTGGGACTCTCCAGGCAAGAACACTGGAGTGGGTTGCCATTTCCTTCTCCAATGCAGGAAAGTGAAAAGTGAAATTGAAGTCGCTCAGTCATGTTTGACTCTTCACGACCCCATGAACTACAGCCCACCAGGCTCCTCTATCCATGGGTTTTTCCAGGCAAGAGTACTGGAGTGGGGTGCCATCGCCTTCTCCGAGTAGTCGCTCAGTCATGTCTAACTCTTTCTGACCCACCAGGCTCATCTGTCCATGGGATTCTCCAGGCAAGAATACTGCAGTGGGTTGTCATTCCCTTTTCCAGGGATTTTCCTAACCCAGGGATCGAACCCTGGTCTCCCGCATTGCAGGCAGATTCTTTACCATCTGAATTACCAGGGAAGCCCAAACCAGCAGCCTGGCCGGGTCCAAAGCCCATTCTCCTTCCACAGTATCTGTGGTTTCTGTAATCAGTTTTATTTCACACACTCAAGGGAAATTAAGCTTTAAGTCAGATCCTGAGAATAAAGCTCAGTCTCTAAAATCTTTAAGCTCGATATTCGGGATGAGATGTTGTTCTTAGTCCTCAATGTTTGTGCTCAATAAATAAGATGCTCCAAGGACCCAAGCTCATTCCTGTTTTCAGATTAGACACAGAGCTATCACATTAGTTTTTCGTGTGTGTGTGTGTGTGTGTTTTACAAAGCATTTAAGAGTAGTGTGTGTGTTTTAAAACAGTTCTTCATGTGAAACCTCAAATTCTAAAGAACTGCTATCCTTCTTACTGGTTACAATCCACATGTGAGGCTCTTGGCAGGTCCAGAGGCATGCAGTTCATAGTCAGTAGTATTTCAGCTCTAACTGAGAATATGGAACTCCCATGAGAATCACACAGGCAAACCTGTGTTCCAAGTAATCCTGTGCTGTGGACTCTTATTCTACCCTAGGAGTTACGGAGATGGTTGTCACCTTGGGTTTGGACTTAGACGAACTCCAATTTTAGCTCTAATCTGTGTTTAAGTTGAATAACATAAGCATGCATGCATATTGTCATCACTCTCATTCCGGGGAAAAAAAGAATAATAAAGGAAAGCAAAAATAAGCAGAAAGGAGATTTGAGGTGGTTGGCTCTGATTCTGGCCCTGAATGTTTTTAAATTCCCTAGTTATTTGTTTCTTCACCTATAAAAATGCCAGTGATAATGATGTTTACCTTTTAGGACTTGAACAATGGTGGCAGGATGAGGGGAGCCAAACCTCTGCCCCCTGCACAGAAAAAAATGCAGCTATAACTTTATAGTTAGCCCTGCATATATGCGTGGTTCTGCATCCATGGATTAGCCAACATCAGAGTATAGTACCGTGGTAGTTATTACTGGAACAAATCCGTGCATGAGTGAACCTGAGCAGTTCAAACCCTTGTTGTTCAAGGGTCAACTATGCTGAATGCATAGGGTAGTTCTTAGAATTCAGTGGGTTAGTGCCTATAAGGTATTTGTAGCAATGCTTGGCTCGTGAGACTTTCTAGGTTGCACTAGTAATGAAGAATCTGCTGGCCAATGCACAAGATGTAAAAGATCTGAGGTTTACTCCCTGTGTTTGGAAGATCCCCTGGAGGAGGCATGGCAACCCACTCCACTGTTCTTGCCTGGACAGAATCCCATGGACAGAGGAGCCTGGCAGGCCATGGTCCATGGAGTCGCAAAGAGTCGGACACAGCTGGAGTGATTTAGCACAGCCCTTGGCTCATAGAGAAGCTTTATGAATGTTTGTTATTTTCATCATTAATGTATTTAAAGGGATTGACACATAATGGACACATCAGGGACAGAGGAGCCTGGCAGGCTACAGGTCATAGCATTGCAAAGGGCTTGTTGGACATGACTGAGCACCTGAGCAAGCACACAGCAGGTGCTCATAGGTGACAGTTTTCCTTTTAGTTCTTAAAACAATTAGAATAAGTATACAAAATTTTTATTTACCTTTTCTCCAAGGATCAGTGTATATGGCTATTAGTGATCAGAGATCCACCCACATTGCTACAGAAGATCGGAAGTTACACGGGGCATTTGCTTTGGGATGTTGCCAGTGGTGATGTCATGTACCGCTGATACACTGGGGAATTGCTCTTGCAAGCTATATTTGACACATGGATTGCTTTCATCTTGTTATTTTGTTTCCGTACAAATAATATTTATCCCTCAGGACAAGAAATCATCCATGTGGAATAAAGAACCCCTTCTCAAGGTAGGTGTACAATTATCTGAAATGTAAGGATTGACAAATGCTTGCTAGATTGAAAGTTCCATGGTGATTTGAGAGTTTGAAACATCTTTGAGATGGTGTTGACATTTCTCTCTCTCTCCCTTTTTTTTTTTGGTTCCCAGGATTTCCTGGTTTTAATATTTGGGCCAATTCTACAGCAGGGTGATTTGAAGTCATGGTTACGCATAGCATCATTAAATTTTGGCTCTGTGAGGAACATTAGTTATCCTCTAATCTAGGGATCAGCAAACAATGGCCTGCAGGCCAAAACCAGCCTGCCACCTGTTTTTGTATAGTGTGTGAGCTAAGAGTAACTTTTATATTTTTTGAAGGAAAAAACAAAAACAAAGAAGAATATGTCACAAATAATATGACTTGCAAAGCCTAAAAACATGCTATCTGACCCCTTACAAAAAAAGTTTGCTGACATCCCTGTTCCAACCCAACTCTCTCATTAGACAAAAAAAGAGAAAATTGAGGCCAAGTGGAGCTGTGTGATTTTACTGAGGATAATTCAGCTCACTGGAGACAGATCCAGAGCTTGAGCCAACTCCCCTGACTTTCGGCCTTTAACTCCAGCAGCAGCCCTGCTGACTCAGTTAACTCTTTTTCTCCCCAGGGTCTTTTACCTTACTAATAAGAATAATTTCACTTAAAATGATAACACTAGTATTTTAAACTTATGTGATATCTCCTCACAGAACAGTTTAAAACACCTTCATCTGGACTGAACCAATTCTGCCACTGTGAGAATTTCTTATGGGTGATAAACTAGACCCCTTGGTAGCAAGGGCAATTCTCTATTACATACGTAGGTTATTATATATCAGGATCAATAATGTATTCAAAAGGTGAGGAATAAACATATTTAACCTGTTTATAAGAAGCAATGAGATACTTAATAAAAGAATCATATCTTTAGGCTTTAACTGAGTTACTAACACCCCAGACTAAAGGACCCTGGAGAAGAAAACGGCAACCCACTCCAGTATTCTTGCCTGCAAAATCCCATGGACAGAGGAGCCTGGCAGGCTACATTCCATGAGGTCACAAAGAGTTGGACACGACTGAGTGACTAACACACACACATATGTGAACACACACACAGACTAATGGATTCAAAACTTCCATGTTAACTTACAGGTTTGAGCTTTGCTGGCTAAATGTGGAGATGGTGGCGGGGGTTTCAAAGGTTATTTGAGATATACTCAACATTTATGGTAAGTTTTCATGAAATATTCATTTTTAATTCAAACAATCGATATTTGGAAATCATGTGAAGCATGACAGGGAAATTGCATATTCCTGGTTGGATTTTCCAAGCTTGTCAATTAAAAAAAAAAAAACACAAACAAGACTGTTCATAAGTTAAAGATAAATTTTTGGTGCATTTTTCCATAAGACAATTAGAATAAGACACACTTCAGAAAGGAATGCCCAGTCATTTATGGTTTGTCTCTTTATTTCAAGTTGTTTTAATTCTGTAGAGGAATATTTGATTTTAATATGTACATCAGTTACTTCCAAAATTTTACAAAAGAATTGCTAACTTATTTAGTTTACATTACCCAATGAGTTTCTTAGCCAATATTTTTAAGTCCAATTTTTGTCATAAAGCCTTCTACTAATTTAAAAGTAAGTCAGGAACGGACTTGTGGATCCAGAGGGGGAGGGAGAAGGTGGGACAATCTGAGACAGTAGCATCACGTATATACACATACTTTACAAGTGTAAAATACACTGCCCAGTGGGAAGCTGCTATATACCCCAAGGAGCTCAGCTTGGTACTCTGTGATGACCGAGAGGGTTGGGATGGGAGGGGGAGAAGGAGGCTTAAGAGGGAGGGCATATATGTATATTTACAGCTGATTCATGTTTTTGTACAGCAAAAACAAAACAACATTGTAAAGCTATTATACTCCAATTAAAAACAAATTTTAAAAAAGTAAGTCAGGAACTTTTCTTAAAATCAAAACTCCAAACAGGATGCATTATCATTACAGCTGCTTTGATCAGCCACTCACTCTTTGCAAATGATGTAAATGGAACGGGGGTGTAACTGGGTGACATGCATCAGACTGAATGGAGAAGCCCCATTCGACTAGCAGACAGGTGCACTTCCTGAAGTGTCTTTTTCAGGTGCTTCTAGTATCAACAGTTCTCAGATCAGCTATAGTTCCTAACGAGCACTTTGACTACATGGGTTTAAACAGACTGCTCAAAAAACCGAGAAACATGCAAATTTGAGCACGTAAAAAGAAAACATGCTTTAGGTTTGATACATTTCTCAAAAGAGTGACTTGAACTGACAGTTACTTACATATTCCATATATACTTATATATATGCTTATCCTTAAATACTATTAAATATAGCACAAAAATATGGTTTTTCTTAGGATTTCAGAATATCTTCAGCTGAATACATTAAAGCTATATGTTATACATATCTAATATGCTTTTTTTCTTATTTCCAAAATTTAATGGGGGGGAAAAGCAATAGGCATGACTCTCCAACTTATTATAAAAATTCAGTGAGATGCACTGAACCAGACACAATATGCTCCAACCTATACTGCACAAAAATTACAGTCAATATTATTTAGACATATGTGTTCAGAAACTGCAAAGGACATGATGAGTATGAGAGAAAATGACTACATATGTAATTGAGGAAATTTCTGGATATATTGCATGTCTTGGTCAAACCTAGGTTAGAAAGCTATTTAGAGCCTGCTGCTTCAGCCACAGACTGTTTATTCCTCACATGATGCTAATCACAGCGATTGTGCCTGTCTCTGTTATGTCTGGCAAACCAAATTGTAAGAAGTCAGCTCTGGCCAGGACAGCCAGTGGAACACACATGGTAGGGAAAAAAATCCATTTTGCTAGGATGCCTTTTCCAGTCTCTTTATTAAGGCTCTCAAATTGCTGGAGATAAAATTAAAATCACAAAGCCTGAGTATCTTTTCATATTTGCCAATTTTAATTTGGTGTTTGGAAAAATTAAAGCAAATGATTATTTTTCTATTGTTGAAACACATTTTTCTTTTTTATTGTTTCTTCCCCCTTGGCATTGCATTTTTGGCTAATTATACTCCCCAGAGAGATGGAATACATCTCAAGGAGCTACTGGGTTGATGCTTCTAAAATTACACTTGGCATGACAAGCATGATTCCCTATGAGACCTGCCACACAGGCTTTGCCCAGAGGAGAACGTGTGGATCTTCAGGGCATACTGGAGTCTGTACAGTTGGAATCAAATGCCTAACTAGTGTTCGAGTCTCGCGTCCTTGTTTCAGAATAATCTTTCATCCCCACTTTTCTCCTGTCAATAGTCTCATTTAAGGAATGATCTCTTCTGAGTTCTGGACAAGTTCTTACTGAGTTGGAAGTTTCCTTACCTCGAAGCCCACTTTGCAGCTATAAAACCCAAGGCAAAATGTCTCATTTCTCTGAAGCTGATCTGCAGGGAAAACTGCAATTCAGCATCAGCCACCAAGGCCTAAAATATGCCTTCAGAGCGTTGTTCTTCCTGAAGTTGTTGCAACCTAAGGACGCTTCAGAGAGACAAGCGTATTCACTCAGAACTGAATGCTTAATTTTATTTATTTAAGAATACAATTTTTTAATCAAATGAACATTTTAGAAATGAATAACAAGTCAACCAAGTCCAAATAGGTCTTAATCCTTTAAGAGTGAGTCTTTTCTGATTGACAGCACTCACAGGTTATTGCCTTAACATTAGAGATCAATACAGCTGTACTATCATTTAGAGCCCTTATAACAGATAACATGTCTTATTTCCCAAATAGTTTCATGAAGATTTCTTTAACTTCAGTTATGTGATTTTTTGGTGCTGAGAGACTAAGCATTTAAATCTTAATGTCTCTATACATCTTACAGTTACATGCAATATTGCCACAATGAAAACAGTCTTCTGTGGAAGGCTTCCCTAGTTTTCTCATTGATTTTCTATCCAGTATGATACTGTGATTATATATTACTTGGTGTTTCTCTTTATTTTTCCCCTGGATATTAATTGTGCTATTTTAAAGCCTTTAATTCTATGGCGTGAACCTTAATCCCATGGCAGAGCACTTAATTCCATGGCCTATGTGTCACATTGTCACAGCATACTCCTAGTGTAAGTCTAGGGGGTAGGGGCTTTTATTTAGGAAAATAACTACATGCTGAATTCATCATAAGTTGGAAAAACAGATCCTCTTTCATTCATTGAACAGACCACACATGTTTCCATAAGATGTAGTGCCATGTGGCCAAGGCTCTGTGTGAACGACTCTCTATTGTAAATCGGTAGGAGAATAACTGTGAACTTCTTTTCTAACCAAGAAAATTCAGAAGTGGCACATTGTAACTCAATTTGCAATATTTTCCCCAATATTTTCTTAAAGCTTCATGTATGGAAAGTGTCTTTGTTTTCACTCCGTTTTGCATTTTGCCAAGAAAAAGTGACAAAACAGTACTTATCATCTTCCTTCAAAACATATGGCATGTGCCCACGGAATATTAAATGATCTTTTACAATGACAACAAATGTTGTGATATTTCATCTGAAACTCCCAGAATGTAAGGTTTCTTGAAGCAGGCAGGAAAAGCAAAAAGATGGTTCAGGGGGATTGGTTCGCTGGTAGAGATGGTGAGGAAAACATATGCTACTTGAAGTCTGAAGGAGTGCTGTGTATAGATGCATGTATAAGCCAGGGTGGGAGAAAATGCAAGTTGAAACAGCAGATCTTAAGTAAGCTTCTGTAGCCAGTCCAGTGTCCTCTGCTTTAAAAGAGATAAGAAATTAGAATCTACATAATGAGATTGTGTTTTTTCCGATTACCTCTCACTGGAGGCAGAACAATTTTCCAGCGATCCCAGGTTACTGAGAAGAGGGCTTCCCACCCTTCCTCTTCCTCTCATAGGCTTTCAGCGAACCATGGAGGACCCCTTTATTTGATCCAGGACGTGGGCAAGCGTGGCCTTTCCTGCCTCTCTGCTTTGACTCCTCCTGCCACTGTTGGAGTGTTTCTGCTCGGTCCCACCCCCAGGGGGTAAGCACACCTCCTTCCTGCCCTGGCTTGGTCTCTAGTCAGCTCTGCAGTTCCAGGCCTCCCATCCCCTACTCTCAGGGCTCCGCAGTGTTTTCCATCCTGGTATTCTGATCTACTCAGCAGACCCAAACTCTTTCTCCACTGGCTAGTCCCAAGGTCTGGATTATGGGGATGCCAGCGGAAGCACATCTGATTTTAGCCTCAGGTTAAGCTGGAGTCTCTCGCTACCTTTTTCACCACAGTAAAGCTGCAGTGTTCCATTTCCAGCAACGTGGATGTGCCCAGAGATGATCTATTATGGACCTAGACAGTGAAGTAAGTCAGAGACAAATGTCACATGCTATCACTTCTATGTAGAATATAAAAAAATGATAAGAATGAACTTATTTTTAAAACAGAAACAAACTCACAGACATAAAACAAACCTTTTTGTTACCAAACGGAAAATGGTAAGATGAATAAATTAGGAGTTTGGGATTAACAGAGTCACTCCTCTCAACTGTATCTAAAATAGATGAACAACAAGGGCCTACTGTATAGCACAGGAAAATATATTCAGTATCTTATAATAACCAATAATGGAAAAGAATCTGAAATATATATATATATCTGAATCAGTTTGCTGTACACCAGAAACTAACAACACTGTAAAAAAAATACTTCAATAATAATAATAAAAAGATTAAAAAGCCCCATACACTCTATACTGTAGTAGGAGTGACTTTTTACACACCCAAATCTAATAATGTCAATTTATTTTCTTCAGTGTTTAACATTGCTTATTAAATAATGTCTAAATGCCTCAGGTTAGAGAAGCAAACCTTTAGTGATCTCTACCTACCTGCCCAGTCTCATTGGCTTGCCTCTTCTAAATAAATTCTGCACTTAAGAAAACAAACAAAAAAGCCTCAACTGCAATGCTAATTCCTATCTGTTCATATTCAGGGTCCATCTTTTAGGTGGCTTAGAACTCTGAAGGAAATGCACATTACTATTTACTACTCTTTAATAGCCCAACCTTCACCATTACGATGAAATGTTATTTGGCGTTATATTCGTACTGAGCTCCTCAAGAATAGCTGCTGTAAATAATTGATCCCTGAGAACTAGTTTTTTTTTTTTTTAAAAAAAAAACAGGACACTTCTTCCATATTAATGTTTATATAAATACTGAAGAAAGGCCAAATATAATTTTATTTTTTAAAAAACTCCAATTTTAAGTATATTTTAACATTATACTCTTAATTCAGCTAACTCTAACCTCCTGCTCCTCCTTTAAAACATATCTTGGGAGGTTTACAATGTTAAAGGAGAGATAGGAGGAAAATAGTGTAGTGTTATATTAATATAACATTATCAGTTAATAGGTTTGTACTAATTTCATTCATTTCTGTGGCAATTGGTATTTCACAGAGAAATCGGGCATCAATATTTTCATTGCTAAGCAAATTACTTCAAAAGAAAAAGGCATTTCTTTATTCATCAAATATATATGGAGAAACTACCATGTTCTAGGTATTGTTCTGGGTTTTGTGGTTATGTCAGTGAAAGTATAGACACAATCTGGGGACTTTTGTCCCTAAGGAAACTCACTTTCTAGTGGTAGGAAAAAGGTAAGAGATAATTAACATAATGAAGAAGCATTTATAATATTGTGGGAGGTGAAAAGTATTTACCTTATTGGGGGAGGGAAAATACAACAGAGCAAGGATGATGGGAGCAGTGTGGAGGTGGGATCTTCAGTTTAGGAAGGTGGGTAGTAGGTTTCACTGAGATGATGCTATTTGAGCAAAGACTCTGAAGAGATGAGGAAGCCATGTGGATATTATGAGGAAGAACATCCCAAGTGGAGAGTACAGTCCTGGAGCAACAGCTCGGAGGGACCACGTGTACAGAAAGAAAGGAAAAGTGAAGACAAGCAGGAAGGATGGTGAGGAGGATACGTGACCAATAGAGAGCTCGGGTAGCGGGTTTTCATGCCTTGTAGGCATTGTGAGGATTTGACCTTTTCTCTGAGAGACTAGAAAGCCATTGGAAGATTTACTGGAGGAGGAATATATGACTTAAGGTTTAATAGGATCTTTCTGGCTGCTGTGTTGAGAAACTAGACTTTTGGGAGACGAGGGCAAGGAGGCAGATTTATTAGAAGGTCCTTGTGATGATGAGGTGAGAAATAGTGGTTAATCACCTCCATCAGGTGAAACTGGTGGAGGAAGAGAAGCGGTTGGATTCCTGATATAAACTGAAGTGTTGAGACAAAGGGGTCTACAGTGTGAGAGAGACAAGTCAAGGGCGGCTCCAGGGTTTTGAACTCATTAGATGGTTAGATTTTCTACTTACTGAGATGGGAGGAGTGGTAGGCAAAACAGATTGGGAAGGGATAAGATCAGAAATTTAGTTTAATTAGATCTTAAATGTGGAATATTCATAGAAATCTAACAGAAGTTGTTGAATACACTGTTACACACATGAGTTTGAAGTTCAGGGAAGTCTCTACTGTAGATACACATTTGGAAGTTGTCAACATGGAGATGATATTTCAAGACTGACTGTATTCTCTGATAGAACACTCTCAGTGCCTGTGAAAAGGAGACTTTCCAAAGTCCTGTGAATGCTGAGCTTTTCTTCTCAGCCAAGTTTGAGATTCCATAAAGGCTGGCACTTTAAAAAGGAAGCATTGAATGATGAACAATTTTCCTGCTGAAAAGTGACATCAAAAGGAAAAAAAAATTCCCTTCAATATCATGTACCTCACCTCTGCAATTAAAGTGGAAAGGGTTCAGAGAATCCAAAATTAATTTAGAGAATTCAGAGTCAGGCAGGTACCAGCTTCCATGTACTGAAGCTCCCTTATTTCTTTGCAGCTCTCTCCTACTTTCGTGACCATGCCCTAGACTGACTTGCAGCTAAGATCAGGGGTCTTGCAGGTTCAGTGGTTTATTTATTTATTTTTTTTCCAGAGGAAAAAATAACTCTTCTACCTATTAGTCAAAACTAATCAACTTTTATAAGGCATTTATGTACTGTACAAAGGAGTTATTTGATCCTATACTATAGGTCTGAAAGAGTTAGTTCATTCCTCCAAAGAGCCTAATGCAATCCCAAGGAATTTCCACATTGGGAGAGTCTGGCTCAAAATAACCATCTACACAAGACGTTCTGAGTCAGAAAACTATTTAAAGAAGAGTGTGCTAAACAGTAATTCCAATAAATACTGGAAAATCTTTTGCTGTTGAACATACAACAATAGAAAGGGTGAATTAACTATCTTTAGACCACACAGTGGGATGAATGCAGGGAAGGACAAAGCCACAGTTTCTGCCTTTCAGCTCTGTGCCCAGGCCCTTGGTGACATGCCTCAATGTCCAGAACTGAATGACACTGTCTGACATTGTCAAGCTGACTTCCCTGTGAGTTACCTCCTTGGCACAGAATCATATAAAATTATACTTCTGGCAGAGTAGCTACCATCAGGAAGAAATACTCTTTGAATATTCAGTGCCCATCAAAAGAGAATGCCAATTAAAAAAATGCAATTAAAAAAAATAGAACAAGATTTTGCTAAGCTTAATCTTAACATGGGCTTCCCTGATGTCTCAGAAGGTGAAGAATCTGCCTGCAATGCAGGAGACACAGGAGATGAGGGTTCGATCCCTGGGCCAGGAAGATTCCCTGGAGGAGGAAATAGCCACCCACTCCAGTATTCTCCCCTGAAAAATCCCATGGACAGAGGAGCCTGGCAGGCTAAAGTCCATGGGTCACAAATAGTCGGACAGGACTGAGCATCTAAGCACAATCTTAAGTTTTCTTGGAGAAACTGTCCGGAAAACAGTCATGAAAATATGAAAATATGACAGTGATTGCCTTCTTACACGATTTGAAACTGCCAGAGAGATGAATATTAAACTTGTACTTGGTTGCTGGTCTGAGTCAAAGGTCAAAGATCAACATCTTGAAAGAGGATGAATAGCTTGATTCACTGTGTAAGGTGGAGAAACCCAGTCTATGCTTTCGACACTCATGTAATCAACCAGGACCCCGACAGGCCTTCCCCCATATCCTCTGCTTTAGCTCTTCTCTGAAGTACCTACATATTAGCATATTATGCACATTTCTGCATTGCTTTGCAAACGTAAACAACAACAAAAAACAGAACCTCCCCCTCTTCAACAAAAGGAAGATGTTGACTACTTGAGGACCTGGGCACACAGCCCCAGGCCTCCTGGAGCCTAAGGACTGATAATGTAACCTCTGTGACACCATCCAATTACCTACCATCAGCCAATCTGAGAGTTGTGCTCAGCTGTATCACAGACCCTGTGGCTGCCCATTTCTGCATTGCTTTGCAAACGTAAACAACAACAAAAAACAGAACCTCCCCCTCTTCAACAAAAGGAAGATGTTGACTACTTGAGGACTGTGGGCACACAGCCCCAGGCCTCCTGGAGCCTAAGGACTGATAATGTAACCTCTGTGACACCATCCTACTACCTACCATCAGCCAATCTGAGAGTTGTGCTCAGCTGTATCACAGACCCTGTGGCTGCCCCGCCCTACACCCAGACTATACCTGTTTTTCTTCCCTGCCTCTGTTGAGCACGAGCTCGCCATGCAGGTTTGATCTGAGCTGGGATGGAGAATGGAGGTCTTGGGAGGTGAAAACCAACAGAGCACTGGGCGTGAATTCTGGCAACAGATTGCCCCTTCCTACTCAGCGTTGAGCCACGCACGTGTGCACTATCTAGTGCGCATCACTGGTGAGCTGGGGATCTGTTCCTTCAGAGAGCACAGTCTGGGAACAACTTTCCTCATTTACATAGAGGAGAGGAGAGGGAATACTAATGATGTCTGTCTGTGGGCTCCATTTCCATCTATCTTAATTGTCCACGCTTTCATCAGGTAGGAAGACAGAGGGAAGAGGGGAAAGTGCCAAGTCAGGGAACTTCCTGAGCTTCCTTCCTTCCAGCTCATAGGACTCCGATTTAAGAGGATTGCAACTGATTTTATTTAGACTCACCTTATCATTAGTTAAAATGGCTTGATGGTCTGGAGGTGGGCACCCTTGTGTTTTGGATCCCACATTAAAACTTAAGGAAACTTCTATTAATGTTTGTGAAACTGTGTTTTCCAAACTAACAGCCCATGAGGCATTGTACAGGAGCAGAAGACACCGATTTCATAGTCCCGTTTCTCAAAAACTACCAGTACCTGGAGGGATTTGATTACCTTTGCCTTAGTGGGCCATGCAGGTGCCCCTCAGATTCTTTGGGGGTAATATTGGGACTAGAAAAGCTTTTGGAAACTGCTGCCAAGTGATAAAGGTCTGATATGATATCCAAAAAGCACTCATTTGCTCTTTCCAGACCTCACATAAGTTTGTTAAATTGGGAAAGCTCAGCAGGTGGTGTGTCTGAAATCTTTTATTTTTTTTTCCTTTTGCACTTGATTCTGACTGCTCTTGCCAAGGCGTGATGCTTTGAAACTGACACAAAGCCACACTGAAGCTGCTTGGTCAGATCTCCCATCTCAAAACAGAGGGCTGCCTCTCTTCAAGAGGAAATCAGCAGCCCTCTGGATTCAGTAATTGCTTTCTCAGCAGTCTTGCCCCCGTTCCCTGGAGGAGATTTTAGTTAAATGGACCTGAGGTTCGTGCCTCAAGCTACTGAAGAACCCTTACCTACTTGTCATACAAATGGGACCCTCCCCGAAGAAAAACAGAAACTATTCTTCTAATTAAAGATTGAATGCTATTTGCACTTGCCTCTCTGTAGAAAGAGAATACACACCAGTCTTCCCACAGTGAGTATTTACTCACATTCCTGTCTGTATCCCCTTCCAGCTCTGTGAGCCCAGGCCAAGCTCACCTTCCTTGCCTTTCACCTGGATCAACTGACAGCTCAGTCTCACCACTCGCTATGGGCTGGTTGGAGGGGACTCCTGCAAAGAAACCTCACTTGGGCTATGAATGCTTCTGGCTGTTCATCCTTTCCCATCAGGGTCTTGCCTTCTGCTCACTGCTTTCAACCTGCATTTATCTGCTTCCCCTTCCCCAGGCTGCCCCAGTGTAAGACATCTATGTGTCTCCGTGCACGTAGTTCATGACCTGCCTCCACACTATGGTGCATGCTAGTCCAACATTCAAATGAAAATTATCCTTTTTAAAGAATCTTTTATTAATATAGAGAAGGCTTTTCCAACTTATTTAATTCTGTCTCGGCAGTGTACTCATCATATCTGATGTCCTTTGCCTGCCTCCTGTTCTTCAGAATCCTGGAGCCCCCTTATCCATGAACCTTTCACCCTGCTGCTGCGGAGGCTGGGAGGGACTCGGGGCTGCTGACTGTATCTCCCACCTTTCTCTCTAGGTCCCTCTGCAAGTACAAACTGTCACTTGCCGTGAGCACTTCCTGTCTACCTCTACAAGGATTAAATCATGTGCTGCTGCAGCTGCTGACCTTCAGCAGTCCCTGAAAGGAGTTCAGGGTGGAGATCAGGAGTGAGGCACTCTGTGCTCTGGAAAACTGGCAGAACAGGTGTTCTTCAGGTAGTTAGATATTTTTAGGAGCTGATATTATGAGCCCAATTCTTGCATCTCCTCATCATCTAGAAAAGCACTTAATCCCTTTGTGGTAACAACAGCTCCTGGTGACTAGCAGAATCCTTGCAAAGGTAAGTGCCTACGTATACTATAGCTGGGGCTTCCCAGGTGGTGCTGGCTGAGAGGATCCACCTGCCCAGGTAGGAGACATAAGAGACGCAGTTCGGTCCCTGGGTCGGGAAGATCCCCTGGAGGAGGGCATGGCAACCCACTCCAGTGTTCTTGTCTGGAGAATCCCATGGACGGGGGAGCCTGATGGGCTATGGTCCATAGAGCCACAAAGAGTTGGACACGATGGAAGTGACTTCACATGCACACACACACATGCCTATGGCTGATTCAAGTTGATATAAGGCAGAAACCAACACAATATTGTAACACAATTATCCTCCAATTAAAAATAAATAAATGTTAAAAAAGATAAGCACTTGATCGCATGAACTCCCCTTTCACCAAAATCACATATATATTAAACCTCCCCACCCCCCAGCATTTTTGGAACAGTCTCCCAGAACTATCTGAGGTACTATTTCCCAGGTTGCAGTCTTCATTTTGCCCCCAATAAAACTTAACCTGCACCTCTCACATTGTGCATCATTTTTAAGTCAACAACTTGTGGTGCAAGACCTGGCAAGAAAGTTTTCCCGACTGGGTGAGAACACAGGTCAGCTTTCCTTGTGCCTTAGGTATTTAATCAGAGCATCTAGGAGAGGCTTCGGGGGAGAAGATGGGACTCAGACAAGGGATTCTTTAACTGACTGAGCTCTAGGTGAGAGAAGCCTCGATGTATCAATTCCCTAACCGGCTCTCGTCCAGTTCTGCTTAGCCACTAAACATGTCACTGGGGACTGTCATTGGTGCTGGAGTCAGGGATTAGATGGAAGAGGGAGAAAGGCTGGGAAATCCGGAGAGGCTGGCGGAGAGAGGGATTTGTGGAGGCAGCCACTCGGTGTGTGGAAGGTGAGTTTGTACTCTCAGGAGCTGCTTGCTGGTGAGCGCTCACAGATATGAGGCCTGCATTCCACCAGCTAAGCCACAGTCCACCCCTGGGGACCTCCACTCCTTTCGACAAAGTTCTGTGAGATTATCCCCAACTTTCTGGTTTTGTGTTCCCTGCAAACAAAGACCCATAATTTCTCTGAGCTAGGACAGATCTGGGATATACAAGACTACTGAAAACTGTCTCCTTTGGGGAGATTTTGGCATTCTCCAAGTATTAATAGTCTGAGGTTTTCTGAGCCAGAGAACTTTCCTGATTCAATACCTGCCAATGGGCGGTCCCTCAGAGCTCTTGGCACCTGGACCCACTGGGTTTCAGCAGATGCTAAGCATGGGGCTGAAAGAAAGGACAATGCATTTTGACTATTATCTTTGGTTTGAACTTTTCATAGGAAAGGGAAAGAACTCATTGATTAGTAAACCTTGAAGTTACACATACTCTTGGATTTGCACTCATTTAGTAGAAGTATTTACTTAAAAAAGCAACCCCCACCCAGGTTACTACATTATTCAGGATCGCAAGAACTCATTTCATGTTTATAATTGTTACATTAAAAAAAATTGAATGAACCTTTCAAAATGAGTAATTTTTTATTTGAATTCTACGTCTTTATGTATTATGTAACAATTAGTAATGATGTGATGGATAATTTTCTTTGGAACAGTTCCTGATTCCATTACTCAACTACTCGATCGACCAGTAATTATGAATCATATCTTTAATTAGCTGCTGCTCTTCAGAAACATATGAAAGCCAAGGGCATAAAGTAATTGGCATAAAAGTTTTCCTAATTAATTTATCTGTCCGTGTAAGTAACCGGGGCTGGAGTCTGGGGATCATTTATAACTCCGGGAAGGCCAGCCCTAAAACTCACTGTCGAAGGAGATTTATATTTGTGAATTATAAAAAGACAACAAGCCACAAAATTGCATTAGCCCCCAACTCTAACAATACAGCCCCTAACGTGCCGTTCAGAGATGAGCAAAAAGTTCGTATTGATCCAATTCATTTTCATCATATCCTCCAGTGAATCTTTCAAATCTCTCTTGCCTTTTCCTCATTCAACATTGTAACTAATCAAGCACATTAAGCGATTCATTAAACAAGAGCCCCGCTGACCACAGGGAGCACCGCAGCTAACATTCATTAGGCAGCCAATAGCTTTATTTAAGTAGCAAAGGGCTTGGGAGTAAAATCCAGCTCCTTTGTCTCTCTGTACGGAAATGCACATTTCAGCAAGGGCCAAGGCACACACCCTCTGGCTCACAAGGTGCTTTCAAACGAGGATCCGTCTCTGCATAAAGCAAAATTCGGGTAGGGCTGAGGTGTCCCGGAGATGCTCTCTCCTTGCCAGAAAGGCAGTCCAAGACTTAGCTCACTGCTGAGCGTGGCTGTGGAAGATTTATGTCAAGTCTGGAAACACAATGTTCAAATGTTGATATGGGGGTGCCCAATTTTCAGATCTGACTTTAAAAATGCTAAATGACGGTGGTATGGCTTCAGAGAACCCTGGCTGGCTTTGTGTGGTAATAAAAGTGATGGATGCCTTTTCTCCCTTGACAACAGAAACAGAACTGAAATAACAAAAGCCAGGAG